TATATTTTGACATAGAATAAAATAATTTTCAAAAAATATAGATATTGCATATTAAATATAAAAAACATACTCTTCATCAGTGGTCCATAATCACTATAAGAAAATATTATTTTGGTAAATCTAATTGGAATTGTGTTTAGTTTAGATATTTAGAAACATACATAATATTCATTGAAACCACATATAACCAAGTAAACAAAATTAATTTGTTATATGTTCAATGCAATTTCTCATATAGTGACGTTTTTCAATAAATGGGCATATAATTTTTTGTTGATCAGTAACCTTAATTACAGGGATTTATCATTGTCTTGTCCTTCTACATATAACAATATTCAAAAAAATAAATGCAATTATACAAATTTTAAACTTACCCCACTAATAAAAATAAGTAACGATAGTAAGACTAAAAAATCTATCTTAATTTAAAGGTAAACAAATCAATTCAACACCTGTAGGAGATAAAATTGACCTTGTAATTGTTAATTTGCTATAAAATCGGGTAAAAAAAAGAAACGTGACTTTATTTATTTTTTGTGGTATAGTTATTTTAGAGTGTGTACTATTATAATTTTAATTTTAATTTGTTAATTGTTAATTTTTTTTTAATTTACCATTTACAAATTAAAATACTTTGAGTTATGAATTATTTCAAGAAAAATTCAAATTCAAATGAAAATAACTATAAATATTAAATAATAAAGTGTGGCACAAATTTAGGCATGTTTTATATTTAAAAATTAATATTACTTTCAATTAGTACGTTTTCATAATTTTTCCAGATTATTGCGTAAATTTTTTTTCCTAATTTTCTATTTTAAAAGTTAAAAAATGTATTTGTATGCAAAAAAATTGTAACCGTATGTGTATCTATTATAAATTATGTGTATATATTATATATTTATTTTTTAGTTTAAATAATTAATGTAAAAATCTTACAAAAATCAAATAAAAGAAAGAAAAAAAGTTATAAACCTGCATTGATTAATGTTGCACGTTTTTAGGACTCCAACATGAAGCACTGATGGGCAGTAAACTTTAAATTTGATTTGAATTTACTATTTAAAATTCAAAGAAAGTACCGTTGGATCTATATCTCGACTACAAAATGCTTTGATTGTTTTTCAATTCTTCCACTGCTAAGAAGAAAAAAGAACGAATTTGACGACTGTCAAAATAAGAAAAAAAAAACGAATTTGATGATTGTAAAAACAGACTGCTTTGATCAAGAGCTTTTTTTTCTTTAGATGTTCATAATAGAGAGAGTGGGTTAATGTTAATTTAAAGAATTTTTATAGTTATAGTTTAAATGTGGGAAGTTACTTTCTTTTTTAAAAATGGTACGGTTATATTTTTTAAATTGACTATTTTGAAAACAGAAAAACTTATCCTCATTTTTCAATTTAAACTGCCTTGTATATATATTGAGTTTGAGTAGAATTGAAATTCATTGTTTGAAAGTTTTGCAACACTATTCGTATTTTTTTTTTAAAATATAAAAAATCAATTGACTATTAAAAAAACAGAAAAACTACAACGACTTTATATTTTGATTTGAAAAACAGAAAAACTTTTTTAATGTTGACAGTTTTCATTATTTGGGTAACTTGATGACATGTGTTTACTTTTATTTCAAATTTTGAATTTACAATATTTAATTAATTATATAATATTTAATTATTAATTAATAATTATTTAAAATTTTGAAAATTTGTGGCGCTGACATGTGTCATTTTTTCTTCTCCTATTATACATAGATAGATTTGTGTAAGTTGATGACATGTGTCTATTTTTATTTAATTTTTTTTATTTATAGATAGATAATAGTTATATAATAATTAATTAATTATTTAAAATTCTAAAATTTTGTGGCACTGACATGTGGCGTTTTTTCTTCTCCTATTATATATAGATAGATTAGAAGAGTCTAAGATTTACTACCATTGTTCCAATTAAATCATTACAAATGTCCAATACTTACTATATAAAATATATAAGTGGGCCCCACCTCCTTCCACTTAAATAATTTTTTTCAACCTTATCATGGTAAAAGTTGAATTTATTATCCTTTTCATTTAACTTTATATGATATTATTTTTTCTATAAAATCATTATATATGTTTTAATAAATTAAAATTTATTCTTTCTTGAATCAATATTATATCATTATGATTCTTGATTATGCTTTATTCTTACTACTTTCATTCTTTTACAAAAATATTTTATATATTATAATGATTCATGATATGATAAATTAGGCATGCAAAAGTAATTAAATTAATTAATCAAATATTGTCATTTGATTTGCAAATAGGGAAGAGTAGTTCTAGCTACTAATCATTTATAGACTATGAAATTAGGAGGAACGCATATATATATATAAACTTAAAATCATTTGAATTTTAATAATGCTTCCAAGAGTCATTTAAAAGAAATTTGGAAAGAGGAGGATGACTATGTAGATTTTTTCACATTTATAATTGTTTGTCACTATATTGACTTTGTTTTCTATACACATGCTTATGTTGTTGATTAATTGCATTTTGATGATTTTTTTTTTCATGATATATGAAAGAAAAACATTGTAAAAATATTTTTATATATAGGATCTTAATATTTTTCTTTTATTTAAGACATTTTCACTAAGGCAGAAGTTCTGTGGCTATTAATCGTGTATTTTTTAAATTTAATTTTTAGTATTTTTTCTTCAACAAGATCATTAACAATTGCATTTGCATGAGAAAATGACATATTATAAACATTTATTTTATTTATCACTTAAAGTGTATATATTTTTTTACCTGATAACTAAGTGGTTTTTATACTTATTACTATATCATAACTCTAGAAAAGAACGCAGTTAGATGGATAAAAGGATATTAACGTTCAATTATTAATACTTCAATATAAAAGAAATGGAACGAGATATTTAAATTGTGTCAATCAAGGAATTGTTTCCTTTTTCGATGAAGCTAATACCTCAAGAAGAAATTTAAAATATAGTTAAAGTGAGTTAGAATTTAATATTTAATTTATTTGAATTTGAAGATCGAAATTAAAATATTATTTTAAAAAAATCATGAATCTAATATTTTTTTGCACCGCGTTAAGCGCGGCCATGTTTACTAGTTCATTATAAACTAAACAACTTATTTTTCTAAAAACTAATGCAGTAACTAAAAGAAAATTTCAACACTCCTCTTTTGCTCCAGTCACTGTAATTGAAAAAATGCCCCTCCTCAATTTCTACTTTGAAAGTTGATGTTTGATTCTTTTCATTGTTTTTAAACTTGCAAAATTTCTTCTTTTGATTCTGTGCTTCAATCGTGACATTGTCTTGTGTAGTAGTTTATTTGAAAGTGCTTTAATCTGAACTTTTGTAGGATTTGCAGGGAGAGGTTGTGAGAGTTTTTCTTCCATCACAACATCACATATCACATATGTTTCAAAATATGATTTTATTCTCACAGACAAAATTTAATAATTTTCGTGTGAAAATTTTTGGGGCACAAAGAGAGACTGCTATTTGCCATTATTTTTGGTTAAAAGTTGATTTAGAAAAGCCTGTGCGTTGAAAAAAACACGAGTTGAAAATAGTAGTCATGATGAGTTAAAAGGATTGAAAAATAGCCTTTGCGGGTAAAAAATAGTATGATAGTTCTTTGAAAGATTTCACAGATTCCGTAAGATCAATGAAGCTCTTGATACCACATTTGATTTTTTTAAAAATGGGGCAGCAAAAAGGGGTTGAAAATATCTCTCTTTGGATTGAAATTGCTTTCAACGACATTCAATAATTTTATTAAGCATTAAGGGCTTTAAATAGTTAACATAAAAAACATAATATGCATAATTTGAAATTTAAAACAATCTAAAATATCTCAACAATTCAAACAACTTAAATAAAATTCAAAATTCAAAATTCAAATTCATTATAAACTAAATAACTTATTTTGCTAAGAACTACTACAATAACTAAAAACAAACTTCAACAGACAAGTCAATAATCTAATAAACTTATTTTCTGCTACAATGACAATTCACCATATTTTTAAGTTTTAAAGTATTTTCATCAATACCAATTTGATTTTTAAAAAGGGTCAAAATGACGTATTAAAAATAATTTTAAAATACTCTTCTTTCACCTATTAGGTTAAAGAAATATATTATGTTTTCACATAACAGCTACTACAATCTAATATGATATATATAAGTTTTTAATTAAAAATGTGACACTATTTTTATTTATCCTCATATAATTAAACCTAAATCTAAACACAATCCAACTCAGAAACTCAAATCCATTTTTCAAAGATCCGACATATCTTTCTCCCACTCATCAATAACATTAATCTTAATAACTAATTTTAATGCTAAATAATTTTTTTTATTCATTTCTAATACAAAATTCAATATGTAACCCTTAAAATGACAAAAAATTTATGTTGAAACCAAATCTTTGGAGGTAAAACTTTAACATTTTTTTTTGAAAATCTCAGCCACATTAATGTAAGAAATTTCCAAGAAAATAATTCATGCCAAATGAAGGATAAAAATAAAAGAATATTTTATTTAAAGATTAAATAATTAAGTTAATTTGAAATATAAAAAATGTTTCAACAATTTTATTATTTTGAAATGAACTGTGTATTATTTATTAATAAATGTATCAAATCAAAATTTAACAAATAAAAAGATATTGAGTTACTAAATATTTTAATTGGTTAACGTTTTACTTAGGATCCATCCAAAAATTGTCAATTTCCCAAATTCACTGCCCATTACGGCGGCGTTACTACCACTACCGCCCAATCTAGCGGCGGCGTTACCACCACTCCCGCCCAATCTAGCGGCCGCGTTACCACCACGATACCACCACCACCCGTATAAATTGAATTTCAAGGTAGCTGGAAAAATATCGCTGCACCCATTATCTTTTTTTTTCTCTGAGAGTTGTGTATAGCAAGCCTAATTTTTATATATAGAGAGAGTTACGGTCAGAGGCATCTGCCGACTGCTAGATGCACTTCTCTTCTTCTATGTCGAGTTGATTGCTCATGATTTTTAGCAAATATTGTTTTAGGTATTGATTGTGGGAAGCATACTTGCTTCTTCAAGTTGAAGTTACAATGATGATAGGAACTGTTTGTTCAAGGAGAAGTATATCCACATTTTCTTGTTTATGTCAGAGAATTAAGCAGACAGGTGAGTGTGTTGCTTCTACTTCTTCCTGTGAACTATATTATTCATTTTGTTTGTTGATTCAGGAAAGAGTTGTATATAGTTTTAGGATGCATAAAAATAGATCAATGTTCTATTAGATTCCAACTTTGGTATAGTTTTTGATTGCCCTGGAAAAATTGAAGCTACTATGTGATGCACATACTGGGATTTTTCATGGCATGAATAACTTGTAGAAAAAAAAACCTCTTTTTCCCCAAATGCACAAAGATAGTGAATGGTAATACCGTAATAGCCTTTTTTTTTGTTTATGTTGCAGAAAGTGATATTGTTAAAATGTTTGAAATCTCAAGGCCTAAGGCTGAAACAGAAGGTATCCAAGAGAAGAGACCACCCTTAAGAAGGGGTTCTGTAAGGATATTGGATGAGAGGTTCATCAGGATTCTGAAGATATTTAAGTGGGGTCCTGATGCTGAAAAGGCATTGGAGGTGCTAAAGTTGAAAGTAGATAATGAATTGGTTCGAGAGGTTATGAAAATAGACATGGAGGTCAGTGTGAAAATTCAGTTTTTTAAGTGGGCTGGTAAAAGGAGGAACTTTGAACATGATTCTACTACTTACCTGACTTTGATTCGATGTCTTGAAGAAGCTGGGCTGACAGGTGAAATGTGGAAGACGGTGCAAGAAATGGCACGGAGTACATGTGTTATTACTCCTGCCGATCTATCCGAGACTGTGAGAATTTTGGGCAGGGCAAAAATGGTAAACAAAACACTATCAATATTTTACCAGATTAAAGGTCGCAAGTGCAAGCCAACTGCAACCACTTACAATTCCATTATTTTGATGCTGATGCAAGAGGGCCAACATGAAAAAGTTCATGAGCTTTACAGTGAAATGTGTAATGAGGGCAACTGTTTCCCTGATACAGTAACCTACAGTGCTCTTATATCATCCTATGCAAAGTTAGGCCGTGATGATTCTGCTATTAGGTTATTTGATGAAATGAAGGACAATGGTTTACATCCCACTGCAAAGATATATACAACCTTGTTAGCAGTTTACTTCAAAATGGGTAGGGTCGAACTGGCTTTAGCATTAGTCAATGAGATGAAGAAGAATGCTTGTGCCCCAACTGTGTATACTTACACTGAATTGATAAGAGGGCTTGGTAAAGCTGGTAGAATTGAGGAGGCGTATTCTATATTTCTGTCCATGCTAAAAGAGGGATGTAAGCCGGATGTTGTGTTGATAAACAATGTGATAAACCTTCTAGGAAGGGGAGGACGTATAGGTGATGCTTTTAAATTGTTTAATGAAATGGAATCATTAAACTGTAAACCGAATGTTGTGACATATAATACTGTTATAAAATCCCTGTTTGAGTCGAAAGCGCCATTATCCGAGGTTTCATCTTGGTTTGACAGAATGAAAGCAAATGGAGTTGCTCCAAGCTCTTTTACTTATTCGATACTTATTGATGGGTATTGCAAGAAAAATAGAGTTGAAAAAGCCTTAGCTTTGCTTGAGGAGATGGACGAGAAGTGCTTTCCTCCTTGTCCAGCTGCCTATTGCAGCTTGATCAATAGCCTTGGAAAGGCAAAACGCTATGAAGCTGCAAATGAGTTGTTTCAAGAACTAAAAGAGAGTTGTGGATCTAGCAGTTCTCGGGTATATGCTGTAATGATAAAGCACTTCGGGAAATGTGGCCGTTTGACTGAGGCTGTCAATCTTTTCAATGAGATGCAAAAGCTGGGATGTTCTCCTGATGTATATTCGCACAATGCACTCATGTCCGGGCTGGTGAGGTCAGGTATGCTAGATGAGGCTTTTTCCATGTTTCGTAGTATGGAAGAAAATGGTTGTGCTCCCGACTTAAACTCATTTAACATAATACTAAATGGTTTGGCCAAGACTGGTGACCCACAGCGAGCGATCGAGATGTTTACAAAAATGAAACATTCAACAATTAAACCCGATGCTGTCTCTTACAACACCATTCTTGGTTGCCTAAGTCGTGCTGGCATGTTCGAGGAAGCTGCAAGACTGATGAAAGAGATGCGTGCCAATGCTTTTGAATATGATCTTATTACATACTCGTCAATACTTGAAGCAGTCGGTCATGTTGATGAGGATGGTACATGTCAAACTTCATGAGGGAGGTTTGGTATGGGAAATTCTTCTAGTTAGTGCTTTTCTTTATTTACACTATTTAGTACATGGGAACCGTTTAAATCATCTTGGCCTGGCAATATACGCTGCTTTATGTAGGGTTTTATGATGCTCTAGTAAAATTGAGTGGCAAATAATTGCAGCATTTTGGTTATTCTCCCTGCTGGTGTTGGCTTCTGCAGATATGTGATTGGATTTTCACTTTGGGGTAAGGGTTTGAAGTGGTATGTTCAGTACACATTAGCATGCGCACAGAATCTTCCTCCTGTTTTCTCAAATCGCTGAGTGGAATTAGGCTTGGCAGCACCCTGTAACAAAAGACGAAGGATGGTTAGCTTTTGGCGGACCTGATCAATTTCCTTTGTTTCATGATTCTCTCTGTCGTAAATATATCTAATTCTGTCTGTCGGTATGTGAGTTACAAAATTTCCATTAGTGAGTGTTTCTTCTACCTGTTTGTAGTTCCTTTGTTCTAAGAAGCGAAAACTTGCTTTGAGAAACTGTGGTTCTGGCCTTATATAAAAAAATTCCTTTGGGAAGGAGGGATGGGGAGAAGGTAAGTTTCACTTGTCCTCTGCATCAGATATTTTTCACCAGAATTCCACTGCTTTGTGCTCCTGGATATTTAACATCTGCTCTTTCTATCTCCTTAGTGTGCCAAAAACTATTTTATATGGGCTTGGTGTTCCTCAAAGATTCAATGAGGTTCATTTTTTTCCTTACTTGACCCCTGTGGCTACATGGATCTGGAGCTAGCAATTCTTGGCCTTCTGTCAGTTAAGTAGATCATTGTGAATCTTTTGTGACCCTTCTTGCTGCAGTTTCTGAAGCTAGCGAGCTTCTGTGATCAATTTACTCATAATCATGTGGAGAAATTTCAAATGTCAAGGATTGTCTACCCTCCCTTTCTCCTCTCTCAAAATGACCAGGGTTTAACTATTGCTTCCTACAAGTGAAATTCTCCAGTAACCTTTTGGTCCACTCCAATTTCGGGTCTAGAATGAGACAGGATTAGGAGGCATCAGGATCATTCATCCAGCTCATCTTCTCATCGGTTGCCAAAAGGTATGGTTGTGATGATTTTACCAATAAAAAAAGTATATCATGAATTCATGAAGGTTAATCCAAAAACCCTTTTGTCCCAATATAATAGATTAAAATTATGGTGGGGAGGTGTGATAAATAATCCAAGGAATGAGCTTTTTGAAATAGAATTTCTCGAAGATCAATATGTAAACTTTAGTCATCAAAAAAGATCAATATGTAAACTTTAAATGTGAAATTATGAAAATAACACTTCAATGTTTTTACGTACAGCTTTGTTTGCTTTGAACAAATCATTTTTGTTGTATATTTAAGACATCTTAGGTTTTTAATGTTCTATTTCTAATATTTTACGTTGGTTTAGTTAGTATTTTGTTATAACCTTATTTTTTAAATCAATTTAGATTATTTATACCCTCTTTATGCAGTTCCTCAGAACCAAATATAATACAAATTGCACTACATAACTATATCACTTTGGTAAGTCAAGTAAACTCTATTATTTATATGTGCATTTTGGTGAAGTGTTGTTTATCTATCCGGGAGATAAATGTCTTTACCTAAAAGGCATTGCTTTTCTCAGTCATTCTCTTTGCGTTACATAGCTGTTTGTATTATCATCTGGGTTAAATTTCAGGACCATTTGTACACGCCCTCTTTAGGTTTGAAAATGACAAACACCTACTTGATATGAGAAACTGACAGACATCTTTGCTCTAATTTAATGTGTTAATTGATTTTTTTTGGAAAGTTAATTATTTTAATTGAATTTATATGATAAACTAAGCTCCAGTTGGACATGGTTTAGGGTTGATGATGCCATCAAAATTTGTCGAGATATTGCTAACCACCTCAGACTCAGAGATGTATAACTTGGTAGACTTCCCTGTTCCTCTTCTTTCTTCAGCTGGTAAATGACACAAAGAGAACAAAGAAAATCAAAATTATATCATTTGGAGAGAGTACATGATAGGACTAATTACCTTTAGCTCGCATAAGTTGAAAAAAAACAAAAACCTACTCTGCTTGTAGCTTTTTTGCCAGAAGTGTAGGTCTCTCAAAGGGGTTTATTAATGATGGGAGATCATGAAGAGTTACAACTTGGTGTTGCTAATGGTAGTGGGTGTTACTGAATTGGGAACATACATAGAATGAAGGGAAGACAGTGGAGGAACAAATATGATGTGAAAAGGGATAAAAAGAGGGAAAATGAAACAAGTAGAAAAGATGAAAGTGAGAACAGAAAGAAGGGAGAGGAAACAAAATGGAGGACTAAAGAAATGAAGAGCAGGTTTAAATCAAGGTAGGGGATGTAGCTGGGTGGTATCTTTTTATCCATGCCTTGGTTGGCTTAGAGCTTCACCACTGATACTTAGGTACTACGTTTCTTAAGCTTGAAGATGCTTATCAACTGAATTCTATTTCTTTCGAAAGATACTTAGATAAATGATGGGTAAACTAGTACAAGGTTTCTCAATGACAACATTATTTTGTTCCACTTCCACTGTTAAGTCATGGAGGTGTCTGTCTTTCTTAACCAGAAGGAATGTCTATTTCATTTCGCCAAAACTTCCTTATATTTTCCCAGTTCATACTTCTGATACTGAATGCCAGACTTTTTGCCATGGTTCTCTAATCTATGCTGCTGGGATGTTACCCTCGTGTGCAATTTGTATTAAACTGAAATGGAAATGCCATTGATTTTGTTGTCAGATCAAGAAAATAATGTGACGTATTTCTTTTGCAGGATAACCCACTGGTGTTGGCTGCCATAATTGTTGTATCTGGTGTAGAATTTTCCTCATCATCCAAACTGCAAAACTATGTGCATTATACAGTGCATAATAGTCCCTTGAAGCCAGCAACACTGCATCACCATACTGAAACTCATGTATATTTAGGCATAGTCACCAGTTTGAAACCAAAGTTATTATTGTTTTACACAACTATTGCGCTAGGATGAAGACACTGGCCTTATCCGTCTTGAGGTTCAACTATTGATACAGCTATTGTCGATTGGGATGCATGTCAGGTCTTATTGTCTAAACATATAACAAGCTGACCAATTGCCATAAATCTCTTGGAAAGAGAGCTACCTTATGTTGTGTGGGTACCACCAAGGAATGCTTAAATGTAACAATCTTTTTTGATAAGTTGCTTAAATGTACTAACATTACAGGGAACTCTCAAGTTATGTTCACCATGGGAAGTCCGTTGGAGAATATTGAAGGCAATATTTTTTATATTGGGAATACATGTAGCAATTGTATATAAAAACACTCACTTTGAATGTTACTGTAATATTTTGAATATCTTGTTGATAGGTGTCTGATTACATTTAGAAATGTCTCCAATTGCAGCTTCTGTTATACTATACCACCAGAAGCCTTTGGATGGAAAATAGCAACACATACTAGTGATAGTATACTGTAGTATGGAGGATGATCTAAAACAATTTTAGAATAACATTAATGATAAATGTGAAATGAGCAGACATTGTTTTGTTTGCTCAAAAAGTGCAGTTACTTGTGGTAGAGTTTGTACATCAAGCTCAACAAATGTGCCTAATATGTGAAGAGATATCACAAGTGGCTTCTCTCTTTTTTCTTTGGTTTTCCTGTGAATATTTACCAAAGCGTTTAGCTCGTACAATACACAAACACAAACACAAACACAAAATGACTCTGGATATCAAGACCAGAACCTATCAACTCTAAATCATGGATTCATCACACCCACGGATGTTGCACCCGCTGGCTTTGCTGCCCCCTCTTACCAGAACTTTAATTCCCATATCTTGAGAAAATTCTGATGGTCTCTGTGATTGAACTCGAGTAAGTTCTAAACCACAACACAGCTATAGAGTATTGGATAAGAGTGGATTAGGCTAACAGACAATTCCTGCAGTTGTGATCTCCATAATGTTATTATTGACTGCTGAAACTACAACCAGATACATTCTTACATCACATTAAGTTGTCTTGCATATAGCCATCAATGGTGAGAAACTAAAATGCAAGATATAATACAACAATGGAAAATAGCCAACATAGAACGAATAGAGAGATAATCTGGCTAATCATCCACTAACATTTTCAGCAGACATGTCGTTCTCTTCATCATTTCCTTGACGTATTCTTGCAATTTCTGCCTGAGCTCTCTCCATAATCTGCCTCTTTTGGAGTTCCAATTCTCTGTGGAAGTCCATCCTCATTTTCTCCAGTTCCATCATTTGCTGTCTCTTGCTATTCTCAATCTTCACATATATCTCACTAAATTTATGGATAGAATCTGCAATTAATTTGAAATGGGAATGTCCATTCCCATTCCCATTCCCACCTGGTTGTACATTTCTTGATCTTTTTGGTGGAAGATCCTCTGAACCATCCTCCTCACCATCAGCAGATTCTGAGTTAGCAGGACTGTCCCTCATCTCATCCAAGCCATTAGCACGATTCAGATAAGTTTTTGGGCTCATGAAAACATACTCTCCAGAGTCCATTCCACATGAAACACCAGTTTTCTGGGGAGTTGATGTTAGTAACATGTCCATCTTTTTGAAGTACACCCACTTGCTAGTGGTACTGCTAGTCTCTGCAAACTTCACCTTCTCCTTTTTGTATTTCTTTTTCAGAGTATCCAAACGGTTACGACATTGGGTGTCTGTCCTCTCAAGTTTGGACCCCCGTGACACTCTCTCTGCAACTTCTTGCCATTCCTCTGATCGAAGACTCTTCCTCCCATGTCGAACAAACCTAGTACCCCAAGCATCAAGCAAAATGAATGTCTCATGTTCAGACCAATCTGAAAGTGGATTCCTACCACCAAATGAAGGCTTAGGAGCGGTTGCTGCTGTAGTAGATGGTGGTGGTACTCGAGGTGCAAACTCATAACTTGATAACAAGCTCTTTAACTTCCTCTTCTTTTGATGCCTCTGTGAATCTCCATACTCATCATCATCATCATCGTCATCAAACACATCTTTCCCTATCCGCTGGACACCATTTTCTTCGCCATCATCATCTTCTTCTTCTTCTTCGCCATCAACTTCTTCATCATCAACTTCTTCATCATCATCCGCCTCCTCCACATACTGATTGTCGACATGCCTTGAATAAGAAGTGTCGTGAACAGAAAGCTTCTGGCAATTGGTTGACTCATAACCCTGGTTCAAGCCATAAGGGTTGGGTGGATATCTCCCATTATCCTCAATGTCATCCATTGAAGCACAACAAACCAAGTGTCTACTACTACAACACACTAATACCTAGAGAGAGTCTAAGTTCAAATTCCAAGCACAACGTTTTCTTGATCAATTTCGATCCATTTTAACTCCAAATTAACACTTTATTTCTAGCAACTAGATGAACAAGTTTCTCCATCATATTTATACCATCACAAAAATCTAATTCAAAAAATCAATCTCAGATACAGGCAAAATCCCTTTATCTAATTCAAGAAAATATGCCTACAACAACCCAAAATCCAAACAGAAACTTCTCACATACAATTGACAACCTTTATCAAATTCAAGCAATATGCCTACAGCAACCCAAAATCCAAACAGAAACTTCTCAGGTACAACTGAAACCCTCCATCAAATTCAAGAATATATGCCTACAGAAACCCAAAATCCATACAAAAACTTCTCAGACACAATTCAAAGGAAAACCCTATAATCCTTTACCTCAACAAGGGGGAAATTTGTACTCAAACAGCCTTAAAACTGGAAACTTAATCAAACCCCTAAACAACTCAATACACATCCCAAAAAAACAAAGAACTTATCAGTTTCCAATCAGAAGAGATACCCTGCTGTTTAACTCCCTTACTTCAAGAAATGATTTTTTTTTTTTTGTTTGAGCAAATCAAACACCTTAACAACCAAAACCCATCTAAAAATCAAGAACATCCAACAGATTAAGTTCCAATAAATAAAAAAAGAACACCCTTTAACTCCCTTACCTCAAAAAAGGGAATCTTGTTGAAATTGCCTTAAAAGTTTGAAACTTTGAGGGAAAATCAAACAGGTAGCAAGAACAAATTCAAGAAAACTTTAAGGATCTGAGACTGTAAAAGGATTACATGAAAATAAAAAAAAATGAAAATTTAGTAGGGTTCATCTACTGGGGTAGCAAAGATGTGAGAGAGAGAGAGTGAGGACGCAAAAATCAGGTGAGAGTGCAACCACCAAAGTTGCTCAAGTGCGCCGAGTGTGATTTTTCCTTCCGGCTGCTTTTGGGGTCCATCAACAGCACGGGTGTAAGGACATTTGTCCTAACATTATTAGGGCCAACTATTTATTTTATTGAAAATTTAAAGAGACATGGCCAAATGACGCCCTGACCTATTATCGGATTCTCAACTACACATTTGAGAATCCTATTACCTAGGGGTGTGTATATCCAAACTAATAAGATATTTTTATCGGTTTTGGTCCTTAATGGTTCGATTTTCAGTTTACCCGATAAGAAGATGTTTATAAAATAAATATATGACTTCTCCAATAATTTGACAGGACAAGACAATAATACAATTTTACAGAACGCTCATAAAATAAAAACAATAATAACTAACATGAAAAGGACTATACAAGTGCACCACACAGAGAAATTAAGAATATGGTTCTTACTTTAGATTTTGATGTTTTGTATAACGTAAAGTTGTGAGCTCAAAGTCAGTGTAAAGTGTGAATTAAACGCTAATGAGCAAAGACAATAATCAATAAGATACTGAGATCAATATTTAATAATTATGTATGGATAGAGTAGTAAATTACTACCGTCTTAATGAGTTATCGGTTTACCCAATATTTAAAACCAATATCGAATCGATAACCCGATATTTTTTTAAGAAAATAGTTAATTCAATAACCCAATAACAATAAACCAATAACATTTTGTCAAGCCCTAACCTACATCCTGAACGTGGCCGGCACTCGAAAACCATCGTTGGTCCCCAAGCGAACCCTTGCTCTGGCTCACTATTCAGCGAAAGACTTACTCAAACAAAATAGGACTTTCAATTGCATAATTAAAGTTTAAAGTATAAGTCAAACTCAAATCAATGAACATATAGAAATACTTATGAAGTTAATATCAACTGTCTCAAAATATCTCAACAAGAAAGGGAAAATAAAGAGACTCCTTAACGTATAACTATCTACGAAGCCTCTAATTACTAAGATAGATGTCGGGACAGGACCCCAAACAGCTTTAAACAAAACAAGAAATAACTATGAATCCCTCCGAAAAGCAAGAAGGCTCACCAAAGCTAGCTGGAGTGCAAATGATATCAATGAAGTGCCTGTTAATGATCCTGAACACCTGTATCTGCATCATAAAAAATGCAGGTCGAATAATGTCAGTACATTGAATGTACGAGCATGTAAGGGGAAAACTGAAAGCATGTGCATCTGAAATGACAAGGCAAAAAGATATACTCACCTCAACTCAACTCCAATACAAAATCAACAATGATAAATGCAATATTTAAAACATTATAAAATAGGAGATCTAACAATGATGTATAAAAATACAATAAGATTTTCTTTACTCTTAGTTATTAGATTCTCTAACTGACAACCATCACTATGAGCTACATGATGATATAACGTCTCACCCACACCGTTAGAACTGTCCTATACCTTTCCGGGGTATAGAACACCTCAACTAAGTGGATTCACTAATTAAGCTATGCTTAAAAGTAATAAGGAGTTGTCTAAAAAGTATGATCTTTTACCCATGTTGGCTACATTGTTTATGAGGAATGTGAGTTGTCTGAACTCATCTCCATATTGGTGCTCAATATTACTACCAATAATATATAAACTGATGCTCAAATGTATAAAACATAACTCTTTCTCAATTTGAGATAATTACTCAAAATATCTTCTTAAAAGAGGTAATACTCTGAAATATCTCTGAACTCACAAACTCATTTAGAAATAAGTGTTTCTCTCTTTTTAAATGTAAAAGTGTTATATTTGGAAATACTTAATTCTCTTATACTCTTTTTCAATCATGAATACAACTCTTCTCATTCTCATACTTACTTTCTCAAGACTTAGTTCATAACTATTGTTGATTACAAAAGAATTCTCAATTTGACTCAAAAGACCTCTTGAACTTTCCTTTTAATTTTACTTCAATTTGAAATGTAAAATTAAGACATGTGATTAGGACATGTGGGATCTCTCAAGGATTAATGGAGACTTTAGAAGCTAATACAAAGAAACGAACGTATTCACGATTCAAAGGAACACGTTCGGAATGAAGCACGAAAAGGAAAAAATACCAAGTGACCCTGGTGTAACAGTGGCGCGTCGCACCAGACCCAATTGATTGGGGTTGGGCGCACTGATGACGCATCGCCCCAGACCTCAATTAATTGGGTTTGGGTTTGGGCGCACTGATGACGCGTCGCCCCAGACCTCAATTGATTGGGGTTGACTTCGGGCGCATTGCTGGCGCATCGCCCCAGCCCCTCCCTAAGTTTCTGACAAATTTTTATGCTCAAATTATGGTCCTAAATCATATAGAATCAAGTGATTTCTTCCAAACTCTTTTTAATTCATAAACTCAACACGAATCCATCGAAATTTTACACAATTCCTATTAAGAATCACAACTCATACTCAAGATCATCAACTCAAAAAACTCAAAACCTCCATTATTAAAGGATAAAGCTCCAACCAAAAACTACTCAAGAATCTCTCAATAAATGATTTCATGGACGAATTAAACGTATGGTATGAGGAAGAACAAGTCCATCACTGTGGGAAGTCTTACATACCTGGAAAGAACGATGTTCTTGGCGAATTCCACAAATCTTGATGAACGCTAGAAACTTAGTCTTTTTCTCCTCTTGAAACCTCGCTTTAAATCCCTAAGTAATTAGGAACGTGAATAGGTGATTTAGAATCTGACTAAACCCTTAATTGGGTCAGGAAAAACGTGCTAAGACAAGTGTGAAAAAGAAAAAGACAAAAATACCCTTTCCTAAAACGGACGAAATGCCTTAAATGGAGAGGCTTCAACTAGATTAGGTGCCCACATGACCCGATGGGTTGGGTTCAACTAGATTTAAATCCTAACAAAAAAAATACTAGAATCATATTTCACTAAATTGTCTTAGATATTTTTGTTATTTTTAAAAAAAAATTAGTTCATAATATTAATGGAGTCATATATTTAAATAAGTTTTTTTTTGAAAATATATTATCGTATCAAAATCGATGATTCTTTTCAGTGGCCCAAGTCAGGATTGAAGAGTTTATTATCATAGAGGGCTTATTAATTTAGAGAATATCTATTGTATTTACTTTCCTTTCAAGTCTAGAATTTACATTAATCGCAAAATATTTAGTTTCCTTTAAATTTAATATCTATAAGGAAAATAACATATATATTTTCAATTTTCTTATCTTTAGTTGTTTATAAATAAGGATGTACTTTTCTGTAACACCTCAATCTTTGAGAAAGGCTAAAAAGGGCTTACAGGCAAGTCCACAAATTCAAAATGAACCATGGAACCTTCATAGAACCCTAAACAGTTCGTTTATGGGTCCATGACCCATTTAGGGGAGGTAGCCCAACCGTCTGGGACTGCCAGGATTTGAGTCACCATAACGGGATCCTAGACGGCCCGTGGTGACTTGTACGAACCGTTTAGGGATCCTTGTAGGTCACCCGTCAGCTTTTAAGTTAATGTCAATTCTTTAAATATGAGAATGATTTTGGATATGAATTAAGGTCACTAGAATCCACTTGCACAAAGTTGAGTTGAAAGCTTTCTTACGGATTGAGTTTCAATATGAGATTTTAGTTAGGTCAACTTCAAATGACCATATCTCTCAACATATAATGAATTAGGTGGATTACGACCTATCAAATTAAAGTATATGAGTCCTCTTTCCAACTCCACCAAGTTTGCTCCATTTTGAGTTCGAATTAAAAAGTTATGCTCATTTTAGTGAAACCCTGTTAGGCAGTCGAAGTATCACATACGGTGTTACCGATGGTGAAGTATTTCACGGACCGTGGAGCCCTAAAAGATCCGTGTAGCCTTCCTATTATGGCACTCCATCATCTTTTAAGTTAGGGTCGTTTTGGTCTTTTCCTTATGTGTTTGGTACTTAAGCTATGTCATTTTAACCCCTATTTCAAGTCTAAACCATGACGTTTTCACCTAGTTAAGATCTTAGAAAGTGTTAATAAGTTCTTTTACATTCATTAACACTTCAAGTTAAGGTTCCAAAAGGAGAAAAGTTAGGGTTTCGAGCGTTCTTCAAGCTTCATCGATTTCGCCAAGAACTTTATTCTTTCAGGTAAGACTATCATAGTGTTGGACTAGTTCGTCCTCACTCCCTATATCTACTTTCAAATCAGTAAAGTGTAATCTAGAGTTCTATTCTTAGATTTGAGTATTCTCGAGATGAGTTGATGTTGAGTTCTGAGTTCTTGAGTTCTTGATTCTTATAATTGAAATTTAATTCCTAATTATTGAATTTTTGTATATTGTGCATTGAGATTATTGATTTGATTATTCATGTCTATTTATCAGCTTGAACCCTATTCATGAATATTCATGGAGTCCTTATTGAGAATCTTTTAAACAAATCATAATTGTTTTAAACTTAGTTTTTGAGAGAGTAAAGAGGAGTTTGAGAAAGAGTTTTAACCAAGATTTGAGCACGAGTATAAGAGAACTAAGTATACCTAAATGTATCACTTTTTACATTTAGCAAAGAGAAACCTTGTTTTCTAAATGAGCAATGAGTTCATAGATATTTTAGAGCAGTTACCTCTTTTAAGAGGATAGTTTGAGCAATTGTCTCAAACTAGAGAAAGAGTATGTTTATACATTTGATCATGAATATATATTTATTGGAAGTAGTATTGAGCACCAATATGGGGATGAGTTCAGACAACTCAAAATTCTCATAAATCATGTCTGCTAACATGAGTAAAAGGATCATACTTTTTAGACGAATCCTTATAGCTTAGTGAATCCACTTAGTTGAGAGGTTCTATATCCCAACACGGTATAGGATAATTTTGGCAATGGGCGAGACATTGTATCATCACGTAGCTCATAGTGATGGTTGTCGGTTTAGAGATTCTCCCAGTTGAGTTAAAGTGTATTTTAATATATCACTTATTATGTTGAGTTCAGAGATGAGTAAGTATTTTGTAAAGCTTTAAC